ATCATCTAAATTCAATTCTGCTGATTTGAACACACGTTTTGACATGCATGACAGTATTGTAGTGCCTTCCAAGAATCGATCAGGAGGACTTTGGCTGATGTGGAGTGATGACCTTCAAGTGCATGTACATATTTCTAATTTCCATGTTATCTTAGCTACAATAGTAAATGTAGTGTCTAGAGAAGAGTTTGCTCTGGTTTGTGTTTACGGGGATCCTTACCATCGTCAGACAAACCAGATTTGGGATCTTGTAGCATCTTTTGTGTATGATAATGCCAACAAGCCAGTTGTCTGTATGGGAGATATGAATAACATTTTGTATGACGATGATAAGAACTCCCAGCATGTTAATAGTAATCGTATGCGCGCTTTTCGTAACATTGTTAAATCTTGTGGGTTTTTTGATCTAGGATATAGTGGGCCTGCTTATACTTGGACTAATAAGCGATATTCTTCTGTGCCTATCTATGAACGCCTAGATAGATGCTTGGTAAATGCTGAATGGTGTGCTTTATATCCGATCACTAATGTCTATAATATGCCGATCACTATTAGTGACCACGCTCCCATTCTTGTCTCCACTGAAGGTAATTTCAGAAAGCCTTTGCAAACTTTTAAATTTGAAAATTGGTGGCTCATGGAAAAGGATTTTAATGAATATGCCAAAGTTGCTTGGAATAGTACTGCTCATAGGCCTTTCTATGCTAGAACTAACCACCTTGCAGGATCACTCAAGAAATGGTGCAAGAAGAAGAAACCTCTAAATCAGGAACTCAATTCTCTGGAGGAACAAATTAAGAATATTCAAAAAAAACCATTGCATGAGCAGGATCACAACATGGAAGCAGCCCTTGTTTGCAGGTTTGAGGAAAATTTAACGAAGCTCACTCAATTTTATAGCCAGAGAGCTAAGAAACATTGGGCGACAAAAGGAGATAGGAACACCAGTTTTTTCCATCAAGCTGTTCTCAAAAGGAGGAGGAAAAACCAAATAGTTTCCATCAGGGATAACAAAAATATTACTCATTTTAACCCAGATAAAATTGCGCACATATTTGTAGACTATTTTAAAGAAATCTTCAAGTCTAACAATGCAGATCTTGGGAGGCCGTACGATGCAACAACAACAAACAATGACAGCAGAGATTGTACCAACACTATCCCAGATAAACAGGAGGTTTGGAGCATTTTGAAGGAAATGAAGGTCAATGCATCCCCAGGACCAGATGGATTCAATGTGGCGTTCTACCTGGCGGCTTGGGATTGGATAGGAGAGGATATCACCAATCTGGTAAGAAGATTTTATGAAACAGGGGTAATGCCTAATCATATAAATAACACAAACATTGTTCTAATTCCTAAAAAACTTGTTTGTACTACTCCTGCTGATTTTAGACCTATCAGTCTCTGCAATATTGTTTATAAAATTATTGCTAAATCCTTGGCCAATAGACTTAAACCACACCTCCCTAATTTTATTCATCCTTCTCAACAAGCTTTTATTGAAGGTAGGAGAATTAGTAATAATATCATTATTGCCCAAGAAATCACTCATTCCTTTACTCTTAATTCTTGGAACACTCCTGCCTTTATGCTTAAAATTGATCTGGCAAAAGCTTTTGATCGTCTTGAGTGGAATTTCATTATATCGGCTTTAACGCGAAAAGGGTTGCATAGTCATTTCATTCATCTCATCCATGCATGCATAGCTACTCCTGTTTTCTCTGTTGTCATTAATGGTCAATCTTATGCGAGATTCAGAAGTAGTAGAGGTATAAGACAAGGATGCCCTCTTTCACCTTATTTGTTTGTCCTTGCCATAAATGAGCTCTCAATATCCTTGCAAGAAGCCATGACAGCCAACCACTTGTCAGGTATATCTCTTGGACCTTATTGCCCCCCAATCCATTCTCTCATGTTTGCTGATGATCTCCTTGTTTGTGGTCTGGCCACGATAGAGGAAGCTAATACTATAAATGAGATTATACGTTCTTTTTGTATTATCTCTGGTCAAACCCCCAACTGGACCAAATCAGGTATTCTGTTTAGTAAAGGTGTGGATCCTAGTATACAACTTGCAATCAGAAATATCTTTCCAGTTCCCATCATTGATAATCATTTCACTCATTTAGGTCACCCTCTCATTCTCCCAGCTAAAGATAGGTCCTCAGCTTATAATTTTGTTATTGACAAATTCAAATCCAAGCTCCCAACCTATAAAGCCAATAAACTTTCACATGCTGGTAGACTCACTCTTATTAATTCAGTTTTTGCTTCTATTCCCATTTATTATATGTCAAATATTCTCTTCCCCAAAAAATTCTTGGCCAAACTTAAATGCTATCATTAGGAACTTCTGGTGGACAGGAGTTAGGGAAGAAGCTAATGCCAAATCTCTTTGTCTTAGAGCTTGGAAGGACATTTGTGCTCCAAAAAATGAAGGGGGACTAGGAATCAAGAATATTCAAGCTACCAACAGGTGTCTCATTCTTGCAGCTGCTTGGAGAATTGTTGAAAAGCCTGACAGCCATCTATCAAAAATCTTAAAATCTAAATACTTTCCTGACTCCTCTCTTTGGAGAGCCAATTATAATGTTCCCAAATCTGCCTTTTGGGCCTCCATTCTTAAAGTTAGGCCAATTCTTATTAGAAATTCTTTTTTCCAAATCAGGGCTGGCAATATCTCTCTTTGGAGCTCTCCGTGGTTTAACACTTGGGAAAGTATTTATGATCATCTCATAATTCAAGATAATGATTTTATCTATCCGGCTCTTATTAGAGATCTTTGGATTCCAGGGCAGAAAAAATGGAATGCTAATCTCATAGATCTTTTATTTGATTCTGATACAGCTAATTCCATCAAGCAGGTGCCAATCATACAGGAAGAAGGTGAAGATATTTTATGTTGGAAACACACACCAACAGGGAAATTCACTACAAAAAGTGCATATAAAACTTGTTTCCAGGTCTTGCAAGAGGAAGGAGAGCCACAACCTAGAACTCTAAACAATAATTTAAAAGAACTCTTAAAGCAGGTATGGAAGGACAGAAATATGGCTCCTAGAATCCAAACATTTGCATGGAGACTGGTAAGAAAAGCTTTACCTACAGGGAAGAGAGCAGGTAAGTATTCTAAGCACATTAGTAAGTTCTGCTCAAGATGTGGCTTAGAAGAGGATGAGATGCACATATTTTTCAACTGTGTTTATGCTAGAGCTGCATGGTTTGCAAACCCCTGGTACATTAGAACTGATTTGTTGTGTCAGAATTTAGATTCTTTAGTTACTACCATCTTAAACTTAGCTAATTCAAATCATCCAAATGCAACCTTAAGTAATATTTTCACTTTTTTGTGGTGCCTTTGGAAGTTCAGGAATGACAAAGTTTTT